TGGAGCTGGTCAGTGTTATATTAGTATTGTTGTAAAAAGAGATGGGAAGTTCATATAAGGAGAGTCAACAATGTACTCGTTAACACAACTGTGATTTATTGGGCGATCCCATGAAAGAAGAAACTGAGTTTGTGTGAATGAGGAAGCATTGATATTTAAAGGAAGAGATGGTGGTCCTAAAATTAGAATAAAATGTATTAAAAAAATATACAGCATGATGATTTATAATATCATGCAAGGTTTATCATAAAATTGTATGTCTTTTGTTGTAGAGATTGAGCTGATGTTATTATTACACTGGATCACATAGTTTTTTATGGCTCTGGTTGGTGTGAATTGAAGAAATACCTTTAACTAAAGTAGTCAAATCTATAAAACAATTTTACTGGTCGTATTTTAAGCAGAATTTTGACCCAAAGAACCCGTGCTCTTTTCATCTCCATTGCCCTTGCTCTCAATGTTTCATCTCTCCTCCTACCCCTAATTTTAGTAACTAATTTAAATCTTATTATTTTATTGTAATTACTTTCTATTTTTATGCTGGCTGCCTGGGCATGCGCATGTCCCAGGTTGACCACCAGCACTAAATTCCACCAGCTTGAATTTCCTGCTTTTATCTTGCTCTATTAATTTTGTCAGTGCTGGAAAGTTATTTAATAATAATAATAATAATAATAATAATAATAATAATAATAATAATAATAATAATAATAATAATAATAATAATAATAATTGTCCGTGGTAACGCTCTTAATGAATAATAATCAAATTTTGACGCAGATTAGTCAATGGCGGCCAGACAGAAAATATAGATAGCATTGCTTTTGGGCTTTTCAGACAGTATATCTTAGCGTTTTGAATTCATTTGCTAAAATAGTACACTTATAATAGGCTAAAGGTGATTATTGTTATTTTTATCTCTCAAATGACTCATGACTGTATTCATACTTCATACTAGTTGACTCACGTGACGGGACTAGTAGATATTAGTTGACGCCCTGCAATCTCTTTTTGATTTGCGTTTGTAACTAAATCTATGACAATGAGATTGCTCGGTATTTTGGTACTTTCTTTGGCTTTGTTTTACTATGCGGATGCTCAAAGTGAGGGGAAATATAATATTAAATAAATATTGCAGATCTATTATAGATCTGTCTACTGCAGGTGTCAAATTTTAGTTTGTTTGTAAGATAAAATATTTGGAGGCATTTAGGGCTAATTTTTATGACCTGGGGGCACAGGTCGTATCTAAGATTATTGTATCATGATGACTGATTTTTGCTTTATAATTTGTACGTTCATCTATACACGAAATGCAACGCCCCGTTAAGACGCCTTAGCAACGCATTATCTAGCGCCGCGCGCGCCTTTTGGTGAAGTGGGTGTGTGCATAGATTGTATTACTAACACAATCTATGGTGTGTGTATGACAAAAGTGGCGAGATTTTAACGCTCTATCTATGAATAGTGTAATGTATAAAGTAAAGGTAACAAGACAGCTATGCATGCAAGATGGTAAAAACATTTTAGAAATATTTTAGATTAGATTGCATACAATAGTCTTATTTGTTTTGTGAGAAATTGACTCACCTCATCAACTTATTCCTTCTATTCTCTCATTCAACAGCACGTGGAACTGTTAGACTAGTGAGAAATGGAGTTTTCTCATACACCTATTCATCTGGAATAGTTCAAATCTTTTACAGCACAAGCAGTTCCTCCCTACTCAGATGGGGTAATATTTGTGATGATGCTTCATTTGGTGATAATGAAGCTAGTGTCATTTGTAACCAGTTGGCATATGATGGAGCATCAGTCTATGGTAGAGCTGGTAGCACAGTAAGGTAAAGCTCTCACAGACTGCATTTGGTACAAAAGCATGTGGCTAAATTTAGTACGCTAATCAAAAAAATCAAGTTCAAGATGGAAAAGCTAAAGTTAAGAGGGCAAATGCTTCTTCTGCCCTGGCCCTAAATGAAACCCAGATAGTTATTGCATGCATAATGCAGTGATAATTTTTGCAACAAACAATTAAACTACTATAATGTTTTTACATACTACATAGTTTTGGAACTGACAACAGTGCTACCATTCTTGATGAAGTCAGTTGTTCTAGTAGTAGCTTACTAACTCTAGAGCAGTGTTCTGTTACTACAATTATTTCAAGCACTTGCTCTCTTAATTCAAATGATGCTTATGTAATTTGCTGTAAGTTAATAAATCCTATATATTAATTGACTTTTCATATCTAGCACAATTAAGCATAACTGGTTAATATTGTAGCCTCTTTTTTGTATTTGTTATTTACTAGATACTACTAGAATCTGGAATAATCCTTATCCTGGACAGATTCGTCTAGCAGGAGGTTCTTATACAAGCTATGGTAGACTGGAAGTATATTGTAATGGACTGTGGGGTACAGTATGTGACGATACTTTTGATGCAACCGATGCTAAAGTTGTTTGTCGTCAATTAGGATACAGTCATTTTACACTAGCTCATTCTGGAGCCGTAACGTTAGTGTCAAATTTATTTTATTCGAGCTATTCTTAGAAATTAGCCTATTATTATGAACATATTTTATTATAGAGCTGGGTCTACCTCTCAACCAATTTGGCTGGATGCAGTTTTTTGTAGCAGTTCATACAGTTGTCTTGCTACTTGTGAATCTTGTCCCTCTATACAATATCATAACTGTAGACACAGTGAAGATGTTGCAGTTGCATGTGGTCAGCTCCTTTATCTTTATTTCAGTGATAAATTAAATAATTATTTTTAGAATTTGACTCCACTGAAACAGCTTCAAGTAACATACTAAGCACCTGCAGTACAGGTATGTAATAAAATAAACATAATTCTATTATATTTATCTCTAATAGCCTCCACTAGTGGCACTACTAACACCACCCCTGGCATTGTAGGACTAGTTCTTGGAGTAGTGGCAGTTGTTGGAACTATACTTGCTTAATTTACACTTTGGGCTGCTGTTAGATTATAATTTGCCTTAGCTGCTGTGATGCTACATAATGTGATGTAATGCATATGCTGTTATAGAATCTGTTTGCTATATTTTCCCTGGACTTTTACCAATTTTATTTTTATGATGCTATTGCTGATTAACTGAATGCTATAAACTTATTGCAAGAGCAAAACCTTTCAACAGTAGTTGCAGCAATTGTCTCAGTGCATCATATGCTGTAAGCTGTATTATTAGGATATCCTGCTTAGCCTGGCTATTTACTACAAGAGGGATATGCATATCTACCACAAGGCTATGAAGCTCAACCACCATCAGCCTCTGTAGTGACTAAGATTGCTTGTATGCTTTGATTAGAACTTAGTGCACCATAGTTCATTTGTTTGTTATATAGATCTAAAAATATTGACTTTACAAGTGCTTGCTTTCAGAGTTACTACTGGAAGTTGAATTGTGATTGTGTCACATTTGCTTTACTTGTAGAAATGAGCTCACAATGTAGATCTAGAGCTAATTGGCCTCGTAATTGACTTTTTTCGAGGCTTTTTCACATCCTGCTTTTCTTTCACAAATTCACATCCTGTGTGGCAAATAATTTGTAGATCTATATATAGTGCATTGAGTGTCAGACTAGTATACTCAACCAGCTCACGAATAAAATATGCTTCTTTTTCTTACTTTCTTTGTTCAAATTGTTCTAAATAAGGGTAAAATTATTGTGGCCTAAGCCACTGATCTAATCAGTGTTATATATACTTTATTATCATATTTAGGCACTCCTCAGTTCACTAATTGCCCCAGTTCAGTGCCATGTATCTCTCAGTCAGTTAGTTATGAGTGTAGTGTAGATACAACTGACGGGGCTGATGCTTTAAATTGGAGAGTATTAGATACTAATAATGATCCAATTACTGGTGCTGTTACATAATAAATACCAAGCATTACCAGTAATGTCACCAATTAGTAGTGACTTCACTGCAAACTTGACTGATAGTTCTGGTCATTATTGTCTCCGATATTTCATTTACTCCAACATTACGTATCAGTAATTATACTTTGGAATGTAGTGCAGCTGGTCCACTTTTATCATCTTATCCTCCTCCACTTTGTAACCGATATCATATTAGATACAGTGAACTTCAAGATGTAACTATTATTTTGCCTAATGATACTTCACAAACTCTATCTGGTTTTACAGTAGGATCAGTATATACTGTTGGAGTGGCTGCTGTTAATGTATTAGGAACTGGTGATATCTTATCAACTACAATAAGTTAGCTTTAGTTATTAATTATATTGTACATTAAATTTATACTTAGCTATACTTGCTAAGTCAACAGCTGAAGTGCCTATTTCAACTAGTATTATGACATCTTCAACTATATTTACTTCTACTATCTCTCAACTATATTTACCTCAACTACCTCCTCAACCATATTTATCTCAGTTACCTCAACTATATGTGTATTTACCTCAGCTAGATCCACATGTACGTCAGCTAGATCTAGTATGATAACTGCTTTGATTTTTGCTTCAGACATTATAACTATACAAAGCACCTCACAAAGTATTACATTTACTGGAGGTATATAACACATTCCTATGCTTAATTGTTTCAAAGTTTTAGCCTCCAGCTTTTTAATAGTTTTAGCATTTAATTTTTAAAAATGTTTTAGTAACCTCAGTGTGTACTTATTGTAATTAGTTGTTCCTCATCTTCATGTTGTGTATCAGTGTTACTGTATAAATGAAAGAGAAAGCAAATAATACACTTAACTAAAATGTATAAATCAAGAAAGCAAATAATACACTTAACTAAAATGTATAAATCTATACATTTCTTAGTGTAATGTATGTTAACAGTACATTATAATGTATGTTAACAATATGTATGCTGCATATTTGCATATAGTCTTGTTTACTCATGAGTGTATGTTTATAAAGTAAGATACTTGCTGTCAACATAGCTATGTATATCATTGCCAAGACTTGATTTGTGTATTTGATGTCTTACATTTTGGGAGGTTCTTCTTTTTTTGCTTTTTTACTCTCAGCCACACAATAGCAGCAATAAATGACAGAGAGAGAAGAGAGGAGCCCACCAAGGTATCCAAGAACCAGCAAACCAACATTGAAAGGATTGACAACTGTCTCTATCAAAATAATGAATCATTATGACATTATGTAAGTCACATTGAATAATGTCATAAATATACAAAAAAGCTTGAGCTGAGTCGAATAAAATTGGTTACTCCAAAATCGACCTTGGCCAAATTCTATCAAAAATGGCTAAGAGAGAATTTCTTGCTTTTATAATTTTATCTGATATGTATACATGTCCTTATGTTATTTATCAAGTTTGAGCTGATTCAGATCAAAATTGGACTTTTTACAAATATTTAAAGTTGCTCAAAAATTGGGTCAAAGACCATGGGCTATAGTACAGGGGTTTTGGCCAAATTTTGCTAAAAATGACTAGGAGAGAATTCTCCATTTTTATAATTTTTTTGATACATATACATGTTTTTATGTTATTTTTCAAGTTTGAGCTGATTCTGATCAAAATTGGATTTTTAATTAATTTTTAAAGTTACTCAAAAATTCAGCCAAAAGGCTATAGCCTTGGGTCATTGTTCAAATTTCATCAAAAATGGCTATGAGAAAATTTTTTATTTTTATAATTTTTTACTAATAGATATACATATTTTTATGTTATTTATCAATTTAGAGCTGATTTCGATCAAATTTAATTTTTTTTAGAATTTTTAAAGCTGCTCAAAAATTTAACCAAAGCTG